CAATGGAATTGAACTAAACTCGGCACACAGAATTCCCATGACCAACAGAAAATACTGAAAGAGTTTGGTGGGCATTGACCTTGAGTTTTGGAGTTGTAGTTCACCTACATCCAGACAGCATTATGGACTCAAACACTGATGGCTCTGGACCAAACTTGGCACAGATACTCAATATGCCCAAAAGTGAACACTGGTGGACTTTGGGGAAAATAGACTTTGACAGTTGGGAGATGTAGTTTCTGGGATTTATAATTCGCCTACAATCAAGGAGCATTCTGAATGCCACCAACGATAGAACTGGGCCCAACTTCCCACACAAAATCCCCATGACCAACAGAAAATACTGTGTTTTCTGGTGGTCTTTGGCAACCCCTTTGACATCCCCCTCGTGACACCCCAGGGGTCCCAACCCCCAGGTTGAGAGAAGCTGATTTACAGTGTCATAAGCCGCTGACAGCTCCTGTATTATGTTGCCTTTCTAAACCATCTGAGTCAGGTTCACCACTTCTGATGTGCAACTTTTCCCTTTCCTGAAACTAGCTGTGGAATCATACATGGATCTATTTTTTCCACAATTCCATGCAAAATAAGTCTCTCCAGAACTTTGAAGAGATGGCACAAGAACGTGATTAGTCTATAGCTTATTTGGATCATTACGGATGTCTATGCCACACACTGCTGGGGAAATTATACTGGTTTGCAGGTATTGTTCGGAGACCAGCCAGCACGCCAATGCCTTAAATCAAATAACAGTTTTCTAAGACCTACAGAGATAGTCATAGTATCACCTCAGCAAGCAAGAGTCCAAAAATGGCAGGCTAAAACCCAGAACCTCAATCTTTGGCTGAGACTGGATGAGAAACTGCCCCCTGGGCACACAGAAAACTGGGTGACTTGGAAGGCACTGAACAGACTGCGCTCGGGCACCACGAGATGCAGAGCCAACCTTAAGAAATGGGGCCACAAAGTGGAATCCACGACATGCAAGTGCGGAGAAAAGCAAACCACAGACCACCTACTGCAATGCAGCCTGAGCTCTGCCACATGCACAATGGAGGACCTTCTCACAGCGACACCAGAGGCACTCTAAGTGGTCAGCTTCTGGTCAAAGGACATTTAGTACAATGCCAAGTTTTAAACTTTGTTTGCATTTTTAATTAATTATAACCGTATTCTCAATTTGTTTCTGACACGATAAATGAGTAAACCAGACTGGCTTTCACATTCATGGAAATAATCGGTGCATGGGGCATGCACACACAGGCAATTGTTGGTGACGGGAAAGCAGGGTTTCCATTCTAATCTGCAACTGAAATATCTTTGAAGGTAACCAACTGCACACTCTGCATGATGGATGGGTTCAGGAGGCAGGCAAGGACATGAGGGCGTCATGCCATAAATCAGGTTGTGCAAAATGAGGCACACAATTCCTTATTGATGCAAACCTGGCCGTGTACAAAGACCTTGGAGAGTCTCCGCTGAGCTGCACTAGGCAAACAAATTTGAGATGTGGGGAATCTGTCATCCGACATCCCCAAAACCGGTGCCGTGCGCCAACTCACAGCTTGCGTTTGGAAAAGAAAGGCATTTTTCTTCACTTGTTCCCCTATGAAATCCGTGCATAAGTCAGAAGCCAAGTTGAAGACGTAGAATCATAGAGTTAGAAGAGACCCCAAAGACTATCCAGTCCAACCCCCTTAAGCCAGGCAAGAACTCACAATCAAAGCCTTCCTGACAGATAGCCATCCAGCTTCTGTTTAGAAACCTCCAGAGGAAGAGGCTCCACCATGCTCTGGACACTTTCTATCTTGTGCATATCATTCTTTAATTCTGGTGCCCAGAACTGGACATGGTATTATTGTATTAGTTTTTGTTTGTTTGTTTATTTGTTTGTTTGTTTTGTTGGGTCAGGAGTGACTTGAGAAATTGCAAGTCGCTTCTGGTGTGAGAGAATTGGCCGTCTGCAAGGACGTTGCCCAGGGGATGCCCGGATGTTTTGATGTTTTCCCATCCTTGTGGGAGGCTTATCTCATGTCCCCGCATGAGGAGCTGGAGCTGATAGAGGGAGCTCATCCGTGCTCTCCCCGGATTTGAATCTGTGACCTGTCGGTCTTCAGTCCTGCCAGTACAAGGGATTAACCCACTGCACTAGCGGGGGCTCCTATGTATTATATGTTATATGTATATTAGATAATGCTTCTGGAATATGGATATTAGATAATTAGATAATGCTTCTGGAATATGGCCATACAGCCTGGAAAACTCACCAACCTATTATTGTATAGTCGAAAACTTTCATAGCTAAAATTACTGAGTTTTTGTGATTTTTTTCGGGCTATAAGGCCATGTTCCAGCAGCACTCTCTCCTAATGTTTCACCTGCATCTGTGGCTAATGGCATCTTCAGAGGTTCTTTTGGCAGTGAGGCAAGTGGGGGGGGGGGGTATCCATACCTGTGGAATAATGTCCAGGGTGGGAGAAAGAACCCTTGTCTGTTTAACAGAAGTGTGAATGTTGTGTTTAGTAAGCTTGAATTAGCATTTGATTAGCCATGAAGTTTGCAAAGTCAATCAGTGAGGGTATCTGCATTGAGGTAGCCTGTCTGTTGTTGCCTAGAGGCATCCTCTGTTTGGGAGGTGTTAACAGGCACTTGATTGTTTTCTGTCTGGAGTTATCCTGGTGCTCCTTATTTATATCTTGATTCTGGTAACCAGATTTTGTTCACATTCATAGTTTCTTCCTTTTTGTTGAAATCGTCCACATGCTTGTGGATTTCAGTGGCTTTTTTGTGTAGTCTGACATGATGGTTGTTGGAGTGGTCTAGAATTTCTATGTTCTCAAATAATGCTTCTTTAAACAGAAAAGGGTTTTTTCTCCCACCTTTACAGTTCGGGTTCAGCCTATTTGCATGACCACGTCCAGAGGTGGCTCTAGGTAATTTTCAATGGTAAGCAAACAGTATTTTGGCACACTCCCCCACCCAACCAATTATTGATATATATTTTCTGTTCGTCGTGGGAGTACTGTGTGCCATATTGGTTCAATTCCATCATTGGTGGAGTTCAGAATGCTCTTTGATTGTAGGTGAACTATACATCCCAGTAACTACAACTCGCATATGTCAAGGTCTATTTTCCCCCAAGAGCGCCTCAAGAGTGCCCCTGAGCACAATCAACTATACTGCAAATGCTTACTTTGCGTAATAGGTTGCTGAGGCTCCCCCCGGACTGCTAGGGCTGTTGTGAGCCGAGGGGGCGCTCCTCAAGTGGTGGTCGAGGGGCATTTACAGAGGCGCCTCTGCGCCCCTGGCAAAAAAAAGTGTACTGCGACCGCTTACTGTGCGTAATGGATGGCCCACCCCTGACCACGTCTTCTCTTATGAACCAACTTGAACCTTAAAATTCTCTGGGGAGGGGGCTTCTCATGGTCCCATCACCCTTTCAGGCATGGCTGGTGGGAACAAAGGATGAGGGCCTTCTTGGTGGTGGCCTCCGGCTCTGGAATCTGTCTATCTATCATTACTTCTACTTCAACCCCACTTTTTCTCTCTAAAAAAGAGACTCAAAGCAACGTACAATAAAACCAATAATAATAATAATAATAATAATAATAATAATAATAATAATAATAATAATAATTATAATCTTTATTTACCATCTCCCCAATGGGGACTCGGAGCAGCTTACATGGGGCCTAGGCCGGACAACATATTACAACAAAATAAAACCAGAGCATAAACAATAAACAACATCATCAAAATTACATAAAGGAAAAAAATTATAAACACAGTCATAAAATAACATTCCAATAAACACAATCACAATAACAGGAGCCCCTGGTGGCGCAGTGGGTTAGACCCCTTGTGCCGGCAAGACAGGTTCGAATCCGGGGAGAGGCGGATGAGCTCCCTCTATCAGCTCCAGCTCCTCCTGTGGGGACATGAGAGAAGTCTCCCACAAGGATGATAAAAACATCAAATCATCCAGGCGTCCCCTGGGCAACGCCCTTGCAGACGGCCAATTCTCTCACACCAGAAGCGACTTGCAGTTTCTCAAGTCGCTCCTGACACGACAAAAAAAAATTACAATGGGCGAGCCACATGTACAGGATGAAACGATTAAAAGACTCTAATGAGATAAAAAAATAGGAGCAAGTTATTTGCAGTGAAGCTAAACTTCCCATTTGGAGAGCCTGTATTCCAGTGGGAAGAGCGTTGAGGGGTGCAATGCTGTCATATTGTGCATCTACTGGCCAAAGGCGCAGCGGAAGAGCCAGGTTTTAAGGTTCTTTTTGAACATTTCTAGGGAAGGGGCTACAATACAATACAATTGAAAACCTAAAAAATACAAACATTATATAGCTCTCCCAGAATGCCCACATCAACGTGGCCAGTGGGCTTTAAGGGATGTTCCAAGCAACATCTCATTTTATGAGTAGCACTAGCTAGCATTTAAAACAATGTTTTCTAATCTTCTCAGAAAGTTTGTGTCCTTTAGATGTCATATTCTTCCATTTAGATGAATGTCTCCTTCCGCTATCTCAGGGGTTCTCAAACATTTTCAGCTGCGGAACTCTTTTTGAAGCAAAAGTTTCTCGTGGAGCATAACCCCATGGAGCCACTCACTATCATTCGTAGAACCCCAAAGGCTCCGCGGAGCACAGTTTGAGAATCCTGTTCTGTCTGAGTATTTTAAGGTGTCTTAAGTGGCATAACAGTCCTGCATTTCTTAGTTATGCCTTTTTCATTTTGCCTGTAGCCCATAAATCTAGTTCTCTGTTTTAGAAGTATTCCAAAAATAATCCTTTAAGCCATCGTTGTTTGCCCTTGGAAAGCTTTTAAATTCCACCTTATCCATGACCTACATTCTTCCCTCCTTATTTTGTATATCTACTACCTCTGAAGGAATTTCAATGTTATGTTTGTAAGATTGCCTCTTATGGTCTGGAAGCTTTCTGTGATAGATATCAACATGTTCCTTGTTTCTCTTCTGCTCCTTGCAGGGGACACGACTGTCCGATGTGAACAACTGGACTTGCTTCAGGATTGGCTGGCTGATTTCCGAAAATCTACCTCCTCCTCCAGCACAGCCAACCCAGAGGAGCTGGTGGCGTTCGATGTACTCTGCGGAGATCTCAACTTTGATAATTGCTCATCAGGTGAGCTATCATAGAATCATAGAATCATAGAATCAAAGAGTTGGAAGAGACCTCATGGGCCATCCAGTCCAACCCCATTCTGCCAAGAAGCAGGAATATTTATTTTATTTATTATTTATTTATTTATTTGCTTTATTTTTATACCACATTTTCAGCCTAATTCGGCGACTCAATGCGGTTTACAATGCAATTTATTACAATAACAATTAGTTAAAAACACAGTATACACAACGGACAATACAAACAACACAACAACACAACATAGTCATCAACGCCTCAGTAAAAATCAGATTCCGTTCTCGTAATCCTTCTACCATTCCTTGTTCATTTATACCGTCTTCATGAGTTCAATTGCCATGTTGACCGAACGCCTGTTCATAGAGCCACGTCTTGACCTTCCTCCGGAACTCCGGCAACGAAGGAGCCTGCCTGATGTCTACGGGTAGGGCATTCCATAGCCGAGGGGCCACCACCGAGAAGGCCCTGTCCCTCGTCCCCGCCAGCCGCGCCTGCGATGCAGGCAGGACCGAGAGCAGGGCCTCCCCGGACGATCTTAACGTCCTTGTCGGTTCATAGGTGTAGATGCGTTCGGAGAGGTAAGCAGGGCCGGAACCGTTTAAGGCTTTATAGGCTAAAGCCAGCACCTTGAATTGTGCCTGGTAGCGGATTGGCAGCCAGTGGAGCTGGCTCAGCAGAGGAGTGGTATGCTCCCTGAGTGCCGCTCCCGTTAGTAACCTGGCCGCTGAGCGCTGGACCATCTGAAGCTTCCGGGCAGTCTTCAGGGGCAACCCCACGTAGAGCGCGTTGCAGTAATCAATCCGGGATGTAACCAGAGCGTGGACTACCGTGGCCAAGTCAGACTTCCCAAGGTACGGGCGCAACTGGCGCACAAGTTTGAGTTGTGCAAATGCTCCCCTGGACACCGCCGAAACTTCATGTACCACTAATACCAAGGTTGCTACTACTACTGCTGCTTAATATTATTGTCACAATGCTGGCTTTTGTATTTGATCACACGTCGGACACGTCAGACACCAAGTGTGTAAGATTATGTGATATATCAGGCAATAATGTGCGCAGATCCAAGTAGGGTGGCCTTTAGCAACTGACAGATGGTAATTTTGTCAGCGCCGATTGTGTTTAAGTGCAGGCCAAAGTCTTTAGCTGATCACCACTGGGACCATCTTTACTGGCTTGTGCCAGAGTCTTTGCAGTTCGATCTTCTTCTTCCTCTTCTTCTTCTTCTTCTTCTTCTTCTCCGGTGTTGCTGCAAGAAGGTCCTCCATTGTGCATGTGGCTGGGCTCATGTTGCATTGCAGCAGGTGGTCAGTGGTTTGCTCTTCTCCACACTCACATGTCGAGGATTCCACTTTGTGGCCCCATTTCTTGAGGTTGGCTCTGCATCTCGTGGTGCCAGAGCGCAGTCTGTTCAGCGCCTTCCAAGTCGCCCAGTCCTCTGTGTGCCCAGGGGAGAGTCTCATTGGGTATCAGCCATTGGTTGAGGTTCTGGGTTTGAGCCTGCCACTTTTGGACTCTCGCTTGCTGAGGTGTTCCAGCGAGTGTCTCTGTAGATCTTAGAAAACTATTTCTTGATTTAAGTCGTTGACGTGCTGGCTGATACCCAAACAAGGGATGAGCTGGAGATGTCTCTGCCTTGGTCCTTTCACTATTGGCTGCTACTTCCCGGCGGATGTCAGGTGGTGCAATACCGGCTAAGCAGTGTAATTTCTCCAGTGGTGTAGGGCGCAGACACCCCGTGATAATGCGGCATGTCTCATTAAGAGCCACATCCACTGTTTTAGCGTGGTGAGATGTGTTCCACACTGGGCATGCATACTCAGCAGCAGAGTAGCACAGCGCAAGGGCAGATGTCTTCACTGTATCTGGTTGTGATCCCCAGGTTGTGTCAGTCAGCTTTCGTATGATATTGTTTCTAGCACCCACTTTTTGCTTGATGTTCAGGCAGTGCTTCTTGTAGGTCAGAGCACGGTCCAGAGTGACTCCCAGGTATTTGGGTGCGCTGCAATGCTCCAGTGGGATTCCTTCCCAGGTGATCTCAGAGCTCGGGATGCTTGTCTGTTCTTGAGATGAAAGGCACATGTCTGTGTTTTAGCTGTTAGGGATCAGCTGGTTTTCCCTGCAATGCACCCTGAGCCCTGCACCATGCACAATGGAGGACCTTCTTGCAGCAACACCAGAAGCACTCCAAGTGGCCAGATACTGGTCAAAGGACATTTAACCAACTACCAAACTCACAAGTTTTGTATTTTTCTGTTTGTTTGCTTTGTTCTGTTAGAAATGTAATATAATGGACTGGTTGCTCTGACACGACAAATAAATAAATTATTATTATTATTATTATTATTATTATTATTATTGTTATTATTGTTATTATTATTATTATTATCAGCACAATTGCTTAATTCCATTAAAAACATTTTGCATTTCTGTGCAAAATTTACATGGGGTTGTTTTTGATCAAAAATAGCATTTTTCTCCACAAAACACAATTTTTCTGTGTGGAAATATTATTTTCTACACTTCAACCATGTGCAAATTTTGTGTAGAAGAAGTCTAGGTCCTCCAGGGCAACTCTATGGCAATGTCTAGCAGAAGTTAATCTAGGATTCACAATGATTTACTTTCCTGTTTCCACAATAAGATGAGCGTATCTCCCACAGATATTGTAAAATACAACATTGACACTGATAATATTTTTTTTAGTCCAAACCAGTTAAAGGCCTATTTAAATAAGAGGGCTTTTGCTTGAAGGCCAAAAAAGGGCAGAGCGGGGACCAAGCGAGCTTTTCTTGGGAAGGAATTTTGTAACCTCGGAGCAGTCACCAAGAAGGCTCTTTCTTGTGTCCTCATCCCATTCAGTCTTCTTTTTGGTTTTCCTTTCTCGTCTTTCTCTAAGGAGATTTCTTCAAAATCCAATTTGAAAATGCAGAGAGGCATGTTCTCGATCCCTACTATGGAAGAAGATGTGAAAGTTAGACAATGCAATCTAACCTTTAATGCTCTGTTATATTTTTAGCATCAGAGCACTCCCACTTCCGCCTCTCCCTGTCTCTCTCTTCATTCAAGAGCCTTTCTGCATGCCTTGCATTTATGGATTGCGTTGCCTTGACAATAGACAGTGACAAATGACATCATTAGCGCTCATGGCAGCCACTTGGGGGGATTCCCCCGGGAAGGAGACGGGAATGAAACTCCGAAGTTGGATCAGGCGGCATGGAGGAACATTATTAAGTGGGGTTGTCGGATTTCAGACATCCACCCAGGATTTGTTTACAAGAGAATGAAATGGAACATTTGGTCATTTACAAATGATTGCCCCAGATTTGAGGCTGGAATGCCCCAATTGGAAAATGTAAATTTCTCCTGCATCCACGTCATATAGCAAAGAAGCAACAGTCTTTGGCAGAGAATGCAAAATCTATAGAAATAAAAATGTAATGTTTGTTTGTGGGATTAACATAACTCAACAACCACTGGATGAATTGACACCAAATTTGGACACAAGACACCTAATATCGCAAGGAGTGATCATCACTAAAAAAAATATTTTTTTTCATTAGGGAGTTGTAGTTGCTGGGATTTATAGTTAACCTACCATCAAAGATTGCTGGAAGAAACATTAACAACCTCAGATATGCAGATGACACCACTCTGATGGCCGAAAGCGAGGAGGAGCTGAGGAGCCTTTAATCAAGGTGAAAGAAGAAAGCGCAAAAGCTGGGTTGCAGCTAAACATCAAAAAAACCAAGATTATGGCAACAAGAATGATTGACAACTGGAAATAGAGGGAGAAAATGTGGAGGCCGTGACAGACTTTGTATTTCTAGGTGCAAAGATTACTGCAGATGCAGACTGTGGCCAGGAAATTAGAAGACGCTTACTTCTTGGGAGGAGAGCAATGTCCCATCTCGATAAAATAGTAAAGAGTAGAGACATCAGACTGGCAACAAAGATCCGCCTAGTCAAAGCCATGGTATTCCCTGTAGTAACCTACGGATGTGAGAGCTGGACCTTAGGGAAGGCTGAGCGAAGGAAGAGAGATGCTTTTGAGCTGTGGTGTTGGAGGAAAGTTCTGAGAGTGCCTTGGACTGCGAGAAGATCCAACCAGTCCATCCTCCAGGAAATAAAACCCGACTGCTCATTGGAGGGAAGGATACTAGAGACAAAGTTGAAGTACTTTGGCCACATCATGAGGAGACAGCAAAGCCTAGAGAAGACAATTATGCTGGGGAAAGTGGAAGGCAAAAGGAAGAGGGGCCGACCAAGGGCAAGATGGATGGATGGCATCCTTGAAGGGACTGGACTGACCTTGAAGGAGCTGGGGGTGGTGACGGCTGACAGGGAGCTCTGGCGTGGGCTGGTCCATGAGGTCACGAAGAGTCGGAGACAACTGAACGAATGAACAACAACATCAACCATCAAAGAGCATTCTGAACTCCATCAATGATGGAATTGAGCCAAACTTGGCACACAGCACTCCCAAGACCAACAGAAAACACTGGAAGGGTTTGGTGGGCATTGACCTTGAGTTTGGGAGTTGTAGTTCACCTACATCCAGAGAGCCTGTGGACTCAAACAATGATGGATCTGGACCAAACTTTGCACGAATATTCCATATGCCCAAATATGAACACAGATGGAGTTTGGGGGAAATAGACCTTGACATTTGGGAGTTGTAGTTACTGGGATTTATAGTTCACCTACAATCAAAAAATATTCTGAACCCCACAAATGACAGAATTGGGCCAAACTTCCCACACAGAACCCCCATGACCAACAGAAAATACTCAAGGCCATCCAGTCTAACTCCCTTCATCAGGGCAAGAAAATGTAATCAAAGCCCTCCTGACAAAGAGCCATCCAGCCATAGATATAGATAGATTTGATTCACACACAGAGAGATATAGTATCATAGATTTGAAAGGGACCCCTAAAGAAGGACAATGATATCTTGCATGTTCCAGGGTGGGCAAACCAGACAATCTCCACATCAACACTGACAAAGAAACAACAAGAAATACTGTTAACCCACAAGCATAAAGAAATTACATATATTAGAAATCAACACTTTCTCATTACTTTATATTCCAGATCACCAGACTGGGCCACTGCAACAAGTGGCAGGGGATGGCTAGCACTTAATAAAAACTTCCTAACCCATGCTTCCATAGCATTGAGCCATGGCAGTTGAAGTGGTGTCAAACAGCATCCTTTGTCTTCAGTTTACTTCAGTTGCCGTAAACTGAGTTTAAACTTCAAATGTAATTTGCCCATAGTTAACTCAGGAGGTGAGAGGGCAGAAGATGCTATGGTCCCTTCCCAGGCAAAAATCAACTTCTGTAGCCTCACCTGCCTTGTTTGTCACAAATACTTTTTAAATATTAAAAGGTTCTTATGTTCTATTTTCAGTGAGATAGTTTTTTTTTTCATGTCAGGAGCGACTTGAGAAACTGCAAGTTGCTTCTGGTGTGAGAGAATTGGTCATCTTCAAGTACGTTGCCCAGGGGATGCCCAGATGTTTGATGTTTTACCATCCTTGTGGGAGGTTTCTCACATGTCCCTGCATCAGGAGCTGGAGCTAACAGAGGGAGCTCAACCCGCTCTCCCTGATTTGAGCCATTGACCTGTCAGTCAGTAATCCTGCTGGCACAGTAGTACTCAACCTGTGGGTCCCCATTTGTTTTGGCCTACAACTCCCAAAAATCCCAGCCAGTTTACCAGCTTTTAAGATTTCTGGGAGTTGAAGGCCCCACAGGTTGAGAACTACTCGTTTAACCCTTTGAGCTACCGGGGTCTCCAGCGAGACAGGTTGCATTAGGCACTTTCAGAGAAAGAAGGTAGACACAGACTATAGCTACATTGGTTGCACGCACAAACAAACAAAAAAGGAAAACATTCACATATACAGTACTTCAGCATTCATTCATCATTCGTTCATTCTCCATGTATACGTTAGCATCTCTTCCTTCTTCTCCTGGAAAAGAGACCCAAACGTAGACCAGATTGCGTTCTCTGCAAATCTGCCATTCTGCCGAATTCACCACTTTTCTCCATCCCTTGGAGAAAGGGGTCAAATGTACAAACCTGCACTTCTGCAGTCTGCCACACTTTTGGATAGTATAAAGGTCTCTTGTATAGTATATTTCTTGCTATTGTTGTTCCAAAAAGTTGTAAATGACTGACAGTTTTTTAAAAGCTTTTTTTATTATATCAAAGGCGACTTGAGAAACCGCAAGTCGTTTCTGGTGTGAGAAAATTGGCCATCTGCAGAGACATTGCCCAGGGGATGCCCGGATGAGTTGTTGTCCTGTGGGCGGCTTCTCTCATGTCCTGGCATGGGAAGCTGGAACTGACAAACAGGAGCTCACTCCATCTCGGGGATTTGAACCACCGACCTTCAGGTCAGCAGTTCAGCCGGCACAAGGATTTAACCACAGCACCACTGAAGCTAAAACTTGCTGACTCCATCAGGTCCAGACAGATGTTAGCTTTTCTTCCTTCTGTCGGGGATGCTTTGAATGTGATTTTCCCTCTTCTTGTCAGGGGTTTGGAGTGGATGGCCCATGAGGTCTCTTCCTACTCTATGATTCTATAATCCTCTCCTCATCTTTAGACATAGGCCGCCCATATTCCCACATTGGCTCCGACACTCTCCTCATGTTATCTGTTGTTGGTGCCACTCTCCGGATGTGGATGGGCACAAAAGTTGAGCAGCCAGGGTAGTCACTCAGTTTATTATTGTGCCGGTGCCTCACCAAGCTACACATCCCAGGATTCCATACCATTGACCAATGACAGTTAAAGAGGTATCAAACTGCCATAATTTTGTAGTGTAGATGTATCCTAAGAGTCTCATGTCACCCACAGACCATAGTCTGCAGATCTCTCATTTGAGAGTCTACTGTAATTGGAAGAAGCTCTGCGAGTGCAGCTTTTTTCCAAATGAAGCAGAGAGTGTTTGAGGACCAGAACATCCATAGGGATACCAAGGTGCGGGGTATAAATAAAGATGATGATGATGATGATGATGGAACATCGAGAAAACCCAAGTGCTCTTCCAGCAGTCACCAGCCAATCCCTCCCCAATGCCAGAAATACAGCTTAATGATGTAACATTAGAAAATGTTGACCATTTCCGCTCCCTTGGCAGCCACCTCTCCGCAAAAGTCAACATTGACACCGAAATCAACACTGCCTGAGCTCTGCAAGTGCAGCTTCTTTCCAAATGATACAGAGAGTGTTTGAGAACCAGGACATCCATAGGGATACAAGGTGCTTGTCTATAAAGCTATTGTCCTCCCAACCCTGCTATATGCCTACGAAATGTGGACTGTCTACAGATGTCACATGCAACTCCTGGAACGATTCCATCAGCGCTGCCTCCGGAAAATCCTGCAAATCTCTTGGGAAGACAGGCGGACAAACATCAGCATGCCGGAAGAAGCAAAGACCACCAGCATTGAAGTGATGGTCCTCCGCCATCAACTCCGCTGGACCGGCCACGTTGTCTGGATGCCCGACCACCATCTTCCAAAGCAGTTGCTCTACTCCGAACCCAAGAATGGTAGGCAGGAAAAGAGATTTAAAGATGGTCTCAGAACCAACCTTAAAATCTCTGTTATAAACACTGAGAACTGGGAAGCCCTGGCCCTTGAGCACTCTAGTGGGAGGTCAGCTGTGATCAGCAGTGATGCAGAATTTGAAGAGGCATGAATGGAGGTGAAAGAGAGAAAGGTGCCAAGAGGAAGGTGCATCAAGCCAATCCCGACCGGGACCGCCTTCCACCTGGAAACCAATGCCCTCACTGCGGGAGAAGATGCAGATCAAGAAGAGGGCTTCACAGTCACCTACGGACTCACCAGTACACTGATTTTTGGAAGACTATCCTACTCGGACAATGAGGAATCGCCTAAGTAAGTAAGTAAAGTAAGTAATTGGAATGACCAATAGGAATTTCACCAGCACGTACCTTTCATGACAATGTTGGCCTTGGAGTGTTATAAACAGACACTGATGATGGGGATTGTGTGAAATTGTTTACAGATACCCTGTTTCCAGAAAGTGTATTGCAGAAACCGTATTGGTTCCTTGCACACCCTCCCTATGTCGTATAGCTTCTCAAATCCAAACTCTCAAAGATGAGAACATCTGCCTCTTGAGAAATAATGGACATGGCTGTCCGACAGTCTCGGGAAATGTGGCCCTGCTTTCTTTGCCTCCATACTTTTCTTAAGTGGTATTGATTGATTTCTTTCTGGTGCTTTCTCTTCTCCTTCCAGATGACAAGCTGGAGCAGCAACATTCCTTGTTTACACGCTACAAGGATCCGTGCCGCGTTGGTCCAGGGGAGGACAAGCCATGGGCAATTGGTAAGATGTGACTGAGGAGTGGTCTTGAGGGTGGTCTTGGGTTGAAAAGGGGCAATTGCTTTGTGAGATTGGACCTCAGTATGTGCATATCCTTGAACTATCCTATGAACTTCCTTTTGCATAGATCAGCCTTTCCTAACCCAACTTTGGGCCAAGCTCAATGATACAGTCATAATTTTTGGAAAAAGTGTTCCTCCCTCAAGTGTGAAACTTTGTGTGTTTGTCATAGCCCAAGGTTACCTTCCTACACATCTTGTATTTATGGGGGGGGGGGGCTGAGTTTGATTAAGGAGGGGGGGCTCAGGATCTACCCTAGCACACCTTTTGTATTATTATCCCAATACCCCCATGCATATGGGATATATTGAGCATGGTGATCAGATCATGATATGAATAAACATAACAGTTTAAATAATGTACCAGTAAGGCCTTCTCGCAGACCACCCTGAGAATTTGGTGGGGGGGGCTGAAGCTCCTCAAGTGTCCATCCCCCACGGCCATATGTTGTTATCTAATGGATCATAAGAAGATATTTATTTATTTATCATGTTGTTAGAGACCCTAAATTGGGTCTTCTTAGGTCCACATCGCGGGAGCACAAAAGGAAGGAGACAGTCACAAAAAAGATTTAAAAAACAAGGTTTATTTTAGTTTCTTCATGAAGAAGACAGACAGCCTGGCAGCATACACAGATGCTACCCTTCAAGTGACTGCCGCATCCCCTTGGCTTTTTGACCACCGATATATAACCTCAAGTAAACAAGAACATTTTTTTTTGTCATGGAAAGTACTCTATTTCCAGCCCCCTCCCTTGACCTTTCGATGGAAAGTACCTTCTTGTACCTGCAGACTCTGCGCTTAACCACAACCTTTGAACTTAACCACAATACAACTTCCGACCTCTACATGTCACATCTTGTTTCTTAAAAACATTTTCTTCTGTGTGGCTCTTTTTCTACAGAGAAACGGTATGTTTCTCTTTTGCTGTTAATTTCATTCAAAGCCCCTTGCTTATTATTTGCAAATTTCACTCAAAGACCCTTTCAGTGTCAGGAGTGAACCAAACAGTTGTATTGTATTTTTTTAAAAAACACAAAGTTTGCAAACTTGGCATTCCGTTAAATGTCCTTTGACCAGTAGCTGGCCACTTGGAGTTCCTCTGGTGGTGCTATAAGAAGGTCCTCCATTGTGCATGTGGCAAGGCTGAGGTTGTATTGTAGTAGGCGGTCTGTGGTTTGCTCATCTCCACACTCGCATGTTATGGACTCCACTTTGTAACCCCATTTCTTAAGGTTGGCTCTGCATCTCATGGTGCCAGAGCGCAGTCTGTTCAGCACCTTCCAAGTCGCCCAGTTTTCTGGAGGGAGTCTCTCATTTGGTATCAGCTTCCGGGTTTGAGCCTGCCACTTTTGGATCCTCGCTTGCTGAGGTGTTCCAGCGAGTGTCTCTGTAGATCTTAGAAAGCTATTTCTTGATTTAAGTTGTTGACGTGCTGGCTGATATCCAAACAGGGAATAGGACGGACATGTCACTGCCTTGGCCCTTTCACTATTGGCTGCTACTTCCTGGCGGATGTCAGGAGGTGCAATACCGGCTAAGAGTGTAATTTCTCCAGTGGTGTAGGGCGCAGACACCCCGTGATAATGCGGCATGTCTCATTCAGAGCCACATCCACTGTTTTAGCGTGGTGAGATGTGTTCCACACTGGGCATGCGTACTCAGCAGCAGAGTAACAAAGCGCAAGGGCACATATCTTCCCTGTGTCTGGTTGTGGTCCCCAGGTTGTGCCAGTCAGCTTTCGTATGATATTATTTCTAGTGCCCACTTCTTGCTGGATATTCAGGCAGTTCTTCTTGTAGGTCAGAGCACGGTCCAGAGTGACTCCCAGATATTTCGGTGCGCTGCAATGCTCCAGTGGGATTCCTTCCCAGGTCATCCTCAGAGCTCAAGATGCTGGTCTGTTCTTAAAATAAAAAGCACATGGTCTGTGTTTTAGATGGATTAGGAATCAGCTTCCTTCATATGAGGTAGTTACATTATGATTCATAACAGTAGCAAAATTACAATTATGAAGTAGCAACGAAAATAATGTTATGGTTGGGGGTCACCACAACATGAGGAACTGTATTAAGGGGTTGCGGCATTAGGAAGGTTGAGAAACACTGCTCTAGTAGGCTTGGGCGATCAAGAAAAAAATTGGTTCTAAACTCGTTTCGTTTCTAGGGTGCGCTAGCGTTTCTAAATTCTGAGGACTTCCAAAATTTAAGATTTCAAAATTTCAAAATTTCTGAAATTTCGTAAATTACGAATCGATTCGTTAATGGCGGACGCGATTGCGCAATATGCTAAAAAAACCTCCAAATGGGACAGGGGGAACTTCTGAAGCTTCCCTCTCCCTCTGTTGTTGACTGTTGGTGTGATAAAACAAACAACAACTATATTATATTATATTACATTATTATAATATTATTATATTATATTATATTATATTATATTATATTATATTAATATTATATTAATATTATTATAATAATATATTGTTGTATATTATATTATAATAATATTATTATATTATATTATTGTATATTATATTATTATAATATATTATATTATAATATATTATATATTATATTATACAATTATAATATAATATAATAATATAGTAATAAAATATATAATATAATAGTATTAATATAATATAATATAATATAATATAATATATATTATTATTATATTATATATTATATTATAGTATTGTATATTAGAGTGAGGCAAGAAGAAGCATGAGGAAAGAGGAGGGAAGCAGCAGAGCAAAGGGACCAGAAGTGGGGTAAATGCAAGATTGTAAAACTTGCACTAGACATACGAAAATAATTACGAAATAATTACGAAATAATTACGAAAATTGGAAAAATTGTTTCGATTCTTAATTACTCCTAACACTATTCCTGCATGGTTCGATATTGGATCATAAGCTAATTTAAATACGAATTAATAACGAATTACAAAATTAACGAACTGGATCGCCCAAGCCTATGCTCTAGAACAGGGGTAGGGAACCTTTGGCCCTCCAGCTGTGGTGGACTTCAACTCCCACAATTCCTTGAGGCTCGGCATTCACCCCAAAGGCTTACCTTGGCCCAATGCCGAGCCTCAAGGAATTGTGGGAGTTGAAGTCCACCACAGCTGGAGGGCCAAAGGTTCCCTACCCCTGCTCTAGAACATCTTCGAACTGATCATTCTTACAAGGTATCTTCCAAATTGGCCCCAGATGCCATCATCTGAGTGCTATCTGGGAACAAGGTATGTTACTGAACTTGGCTCAAAGGATCTCATACTATGTTCAAAAAACAACTTGAGCACGAAGGCAGTCTCCCTCTCCATGTTATGATCTTGCTGGGCTTTTAATTTTTCTGGCAGCTCCGAGGAACCCAATTTAACTATGGCGTGCTGGCATGCCTTGTCCCAAAATGCTCCCGGCAAGAAGCGTGCCTTGTGGTGGGAACCACCACCGAAATGGCCCTTAATGGAAACGAAATATTCTCAAGCTGTGATATGTTGAGGGTTGTAATCAGCAGGATGCGCCTTTCTGAAGGATGCTAAAGTGCTTTGCTGTAAATGTACGTGGGGCTCGCTTCTCCCAGGCGCCAGAGTACAACTTCTCCTGTTGAGAAAGCGAACAGCAGTATCAACACTATAATGATGCAGCTTGAGAATTGTTATAATGAAGGTGTTTCTAAGAACTACCTGGACATGGTGCTCATCGATTTTCCTACTCACAACATCAGAGAATTTTCTTTGTGTGTGAGAGAGACACACACACACATCTGAACAGAGCTTGGAAACAATTACTTCAATGTAACTGGTATGTGCTAATTTGCTGCCTGACTAGTCATAAATTAACATGCTAACAGAGTTTGGAAACAACTTGCATTGCTATGTGCCATTCATTTGGCTTCAACGTATGGCAACCCTATGAATGATAGACTCCAAGAGATGCTCTACCCAGGTCTTGCTGATTCAGTTTTCTCCAAGTTTGGGACCCAAAGAATCTGGTTGATTCAATCCATTCATCTATAACAGTGGTTCCCAACCTTTTTTTTTGACCAGGGACCACTTGACTAGGGACCACTTTGACCAGGGACCACCTAGACCATGGACCAACTTGACCAGGGACCACTTTGACCAGGGACTGCTTAGACCAGGGACCGCTTAGACCAGGGACCACTTAGACCAGGGACCGCTTTGACCAGGGACTTTGACCAGGGACTACTTTGACCAGGGACCACTTGACCAGGGACCACTTGACCAGGGACCACTTTGACCAGGGACCACTTTGACCAGGGACCACTTTGACCAGAATCCACTTTGACCAGGGACCACTTTGACCAGGGCCACTTTGACCAGGGACCACCTAGACCAGGAACCACCTTGACCAGGGACCACTTTGACCAGGGACCACTTTGACCAGGGACCATTTTGACCAGGGACCACTTTGACCAGGGACACTGACCAGGGACCACTTAGACCAAGGACCGCTTACACCAGGGACCACTTACACCAGGAACCACTTTGACCAGAGACCACTTAGACCAGGGACTACTTAGACCAGGGACCACTTGACCAGGGACCACTTGACCAGGACACTTGACCAGGACCACTTTGACCAGGGACCACTTTGACCAGGAGACCACTTTGACCAGGGACCACTTGAACCAGGGACCACTTTGACCAGGGACCACTTGACCAGGGATCACTTTGACCAGGGACCACTTGACCAGGGACCACTTTGACCAGGGACCACTTTGACAGGACCACTTTGACCAGGGATCACTTTGACCAGGGACCTCTTCACCAGGGACCACTTGACCAGGGATCACTTTGACCAGGGACCTCTTCACCAGGGACCACTTGACCAGGGATCACTTTGACCAGGGACCACTTTGACAGGACCACTTGACCAGGGACCACTTTGACCAGGGACCACTTGACCAGGGATTTGGTTTGGTTATTTGAGGTGCTGATTCAGAAAACCACATTGGATAGACCACATCAGCTCTAGTTTCTGATACAGAACATATGCCACCCAGTAGTCACCATCTGCTCGCCCACAGAAAACCATATTTAATAAGCCTTGGCACTATAAGAGGGTTTTGTGAGACTAGTCACTTTTGTTGCAACGATGTAGTAATAGTGAGGCCATATTTTAGTTCTTGTGGACCACTGGTGGTCCATGGACCACATATTGAGAACCACTGATCTATAATGTGACCTCACTCTTTTCCTTCTGGTTCCAGTTTTACCAAGCATGATTGCCTTTTCCAATGAATCATGGCTTCTCATAATATGCCCAAAGCACAAGAGCCTCAGGTTAACCATGTTGGGTTGATTTTTTCTGGGACCAATTTATTTTGGGGGATTTTTTGGCAGTCCATAAGATCCATAGAACTCTCCTCCAGCAATTGTTCTTTGTTTGGCCTTGTTTCAAACATACAGTACTGTGATGGCACACCAGGAAGATCTAAAGAGAAACCTAAATGTGTCTGGCTATTTTCCCAGTGACCATCGGTATGCCCTAATTACTATAATTCCCCCAAAATAAAACTCTATAAACAAGATTAAGTTTAACAATTGTTTACTAAATAATCAAGGTGAATTACAACAATGAACAAAGGTGAGAATTGATTATGATAATATAACTCTGAGGTAACAAATTACTATTTCTATGAGGTAAATATAACTATACACTATGGGGGATGATGTAACTATCTATCTATGACAAATATTATCTATCCTTTATTACATATATTATCTATGAACTATCTATCTAACTATCTATAACTATTCTATGGCAAATACGTGATTAGGATGGCCTGTTCAAATTGCTAGGCCAGACCAGACACTATCTGGCAACTGTCAACAAGCTAAGACCAACAAAGAATGGAATAAAAAGTCTTTCTGCCAAGCTCTGAGCCAGAATGGGCTGAACCAACTGAGCTCGGCCTCTAGGGGGAATCTAAGCTCTCCCCTAAACTTGGTAAAATGGAACAGTCCAACAGGCAACAAGGAAATAATACTAGGCCGAGACATCACAAGTACTCTTCAGTGAACTTTTCACTTAAGTACCTTACTTAGGTGATCCCTCATTGTCCAAGTAAGATGGTCCTCCAAGTTTGGTGTCCTTGTGGTGGGTATGTAGATGACTGTGGAGCCCTATTCTTGACCTGCATTGTTCTCCTGCAGTGAAGGTTTCCAGGTGGAAGGCAGTCCCAGTCAGGGTTGGCTTGACGCACCTGTTGCACTCCAGGTCAGGAAAAAGCCCTCTGACTTTAAAACACACCACACGAAGAGTGAAGAAACAAATCTTTTATTGAAGCTAAGTAAATAGCCAGAAGAAATAAATGCTTGTAAGAAAATAAGAAAGTTCCAAAAAGTAATGCCCATAAAAGACAGTAACACAAAGCAATGTCCACACCAGATATAAAAGCAATCCAAGACAGCATTTATCCAGACAGGAATCAACAGGATGCAAAGACAATCCAAAAGGCTAAAAACTCCACAGGAACAAGACCCCTTGAACAAGATTTCAATGGCACATGAATTTGATTTCCAAACGATGCCTGATCTAACAGGTTTTCCCTTGAGGCGAACCTTATATCCCAAAACTCAGAAACTGGTTTTGCTTTCCCCCACATTTACCCCTTATCAGATGAAGCCTTTCATAGCAACATAAACACTGAGTTTGCTGTCGATCCTGGCTAATCTCCAGCCGCCTATCCTTCAGCTCCCTATCTGGCTGTTCATTGAAATTCCCAGGTGTCAGATTGTTTTCCAAACCCAAATCTTGAGAGCTCACACAGAGAGGGAGTGAACCATCATTGCTAGGCCCAGCAGGGATATTCTCGTGAGAAACTGCCTTTTGCACTGAGGCCTCTCTGTCATTGTCTGCATGGAAATCATTAACCAAACCATCTCCATCTTGTACCTCAGCCTCATTACCATCATTTCTCTCATCATTTCCCTCATTATTTCCCACATCAGGATCCTGAAACACAAACACAGGCCGATTCCCAACAGCACCTTTCTCTTGGCATGTTTCTCTCTTTTGCCTTCCATTCGTGTCTCTTCAAATTCTACAGCACTGTGGGTCACAGCTGACTTCCAGAAAGAGCACTCAAGGTCCAGGGCTTCCCAGTTCTTGGTGTCTATGCCACAGTTTTTAATGTTGGCATTAAGCTCAACTTTAAATCTCTTTTCCTGTCCTCCCAACATTCCGTTTTCCGTTCTTGAGTTCGGAGTAGAGCAACTGCTTTGAGAGATGGTGGTCGGGCATTCAGACAATGTGGCCGGTCCAGCAGAGTTGATGGTGGACCATTACTTCAGTGCTGGTGGTCCATAAAATGCTCTTCAGAAGAGAAGCAGCTCTGGTGGAAAGAGTAAACATTGGTACAGCTTTCATGTGTTATTTTCTTTTCTTTTCCACAGGTACCTTGTTAGATCCAGAGGGACTCTATGATGAGGAAGTGTGCACTCCAGACAACCTACAAAAGTATGTATTATCTTGCCTCCTTGCTTATATATAGCCTTGATGCAATGGCTTTTCTTCAAACCTTTGAGTAGGGGTGTGCAAAATTCAGTAGATCAATTCAGATTTTGGAAACGAACCAGGGGACACCCTTTTGACAGCCTTACTGGAATGAAACACAAGTTGTTGAACCTTTCAGCTAAATTCTGGAAAGATTTATTGATTTGGACTTATTTTTCATCATTGGTATTCTGATCGTTTGTTTTGTACCCCGTGCTGGGGGTGATGGGGCTGAGCGGAGAGTGCATTATATTATGTTTCTCAGCCAATCACAAGGCTAGTTCTGTCCATTCTCCTTCCCTCTTGTGATGCGCATTGTTTTGGACTTCAATTCCCAGAAAACTTTAAAAAAATTCCCCAAAAATCAGTAGATTAGCTAAACATTCTGAAACTTGGGTAGCTTATAGTCATTAATGTGTCCTACAAGTGTGCCAAGTTTCATCCTGATAGCTCTAAAAATGACAGACAAACGAGCCTCTAAATTTTCCCCATTGGCGCCATTTTGAATCTTACCAAAACGAAAACAGAACTCAGGATTCTGAATTACAAATCCGAATGTCACCACTCCTAATCTCCTGGAATCTTCCTGAAAACAGAATGGGGAGCACCCAAACTTCGAAATGAAACAGAACGGATTTCGCACATCCCTACTTTCCATATATATATCATGTGTAATTGTGTTATTGTGTCTATTGTTATTGAGTTGCCATCAAATTGACTTCAGCCAATGAACAAGAGACCTCCAAGTCAACAACTTCAACAGCTGTCCTCAGGTCTTACCAATTCAGTAGCTTTTTGAGTATCTACCCATAACAGGTTCTTCCTTTTTTCCTACTTCTACTTTACTAAACATTATTGTCTTCTATACAGTCATGTCTTCTCATGATATGGCCAAAGTACAACAGCCTCAGTTGAGTCATCCTGGATTTTAGGAAGAGTTTGGACTTGATTTGGTCTGAAAATCATTTATTTTCTTTTTTCACACAACACATCACATATTATATTACACTGGCTCTTGGATACTGAGAATTGTCACAATGAATTCAATGAGATTTATTTCTGAGTTCAGAGCCAACATGGTGAAGTGTCGAGACTCTGGAGATCAAGGTTTGAATCCCAACTCAGCTATGAAAACTGTCCAGTTGTGTCTGAATCTGGGGGGGGGGGGGGTTGTGCTCATCTCTATTTCTAAGCCAAAGAGCCAGTGTTGTCTATAGACACCTCCAAGGTCATGTGGCCAGCATGACTGCAGGAAGCGCCATTACCTTCCCGCCAGAGCAGTACCTATTTATTTATTTATCTATCGTGTCATCAGCAACCATACCATTGTATTACAATTCTAACAGAACAAAACAAACACACAGATTTTGCAAACTTGGTAGTTGGTCCTTTGACCAGTATCTGGCCACTTGGAGTGCCTCTGGTGTTGCCGCAAGAAGGTCCTCCATTGTGCATGTGGCAGGGCTCAGGGTGCATTGCAGCAGGTGGTCAGTGGTTTGCTCTTCTCCACACTCACATGTCGAGGATTCCACTTTGTAGCCCCATTTCTGAAGGTTGGCTCTGCATCTCGTGGTGCCAGAGCGCAGTCTGTTCAGTGTCTTCCAAGTCGCCCAGTCCTCTGTGTGCCCAGGGGGTAGTCCCTCATTTGGTATCAGCCATTGGTTGAGGTTCTGGGTTTGAGCCTGCCACTTTTGGACTCTTGCTTGCTGAGGTGTTCCAGCGAGTGTCTCTGTAGATCTTAGAAAACTATTTCTTGATTTGAGTCATTGACGTGCTGCCTGATACCCAAACAGAGGATGAGCTGGAGATATCACTGCCTTGGTCCTTTCACTATTGGCTGCTACTTCCTGGCGAATGTCAGGTGGTGCAATACCGGCTAAGCAGTGTCATTTCTCCAGTGGTGTAGGGCGCAGACACCCCGTGATAATGCGGCATGTCTCATTAAGAGCCACATCCACTGTTTTAGTGTGGTGAGATGTGTTCCACACTGGGCATGCATACTCAGCAGCAGAGTAGCATAGCGCAATGGCAGATGTCTTCACTGTATCTGGTTGTGATATCTAGGTTGTGCCAGTCAGCTTTTGTATGATATTGTTTCTAGTGCCCACTTTTTGCTTGATGTTCAGGCAGTGCTTCTTGTAGGTCAGAGCACGGTCCAGAGTGACTCCCAGGTATTTGGGTGCGCTGCAATGCTCCAGTGGGATTCCTTCCCACGTGATCCTCAGAGCTCGGGATGCTTGTCTGTTCTTGAGATGAAATGCTGTAAATAAATAAATAAATAAATAAATAAATAAATAATAATAAACAGGAGCTCTCGCCGCTCCCCAGATTTGAACCTGCGACCTTTCAATCAGCAAGTTGAGCAGTTCTGTGATTTAACGCACTGTGTCGCCGGGGGCTGTGTAATATTTCAGTGCAAAGTTTGTTTTATTCATTTGGGACCATTATTTCGCTAGCCTTTCGCTTTCCTTTCCCAGTTCATGCTTTGTCTAGCAGCCCGTCATCTTTAAAAATGGACCCCGGTGCTTGCAAATCCTTCTCTAGAGTTATTGACAAGTTTGTTCAGGCTTAAAATAGATCCGTGTTCAGAAATTCTTCAATAATAACATTTGGCTGTGGCTTTATAAAAAAAAGCTAATGTATCATTCTGTCTATATTGACAACAATAGTTCTGGAAGAAGCCCAGTAAATTAGACTCTCCACCTCTAGAAACCTATTAATAAAGTTAAGGAGACCACAGTGTTAAATACATCAATGGAAGTGTCGACATGAGCCGTTTCCTTATTAAAAAGATCAATATACACTGGGGCTATTTAGTAGCAGTTTGCCTCACCTTCTGACTTGATTAATAAGGTGCTGTTAGGACAAAGAATGAAAACGGCAATTTAATTAAGATATTCACAAACCTGGGATAAATTAGCCATCGGTCTCTTTAACTCAGCATCCGATCGCCATGCAAAGAGCCTGCCTCCGCTGATGCTCGGGTCGATCGCTCACGTTTTATTGTTTTTATGTGCCCAGACTGTACTGTGTTGGAAATGTATCCAGTAATTTTAACTCATTCCATTTGAAAGAAGGGGAAAAGTTTCCAAAAAAGAGAGAGAAGAAAATTCTACTGAAACTCTTGTATATGTAACCTAGAGCAACAAATAACACAATATAACATGATTTTTGTTTCTGGGTTATAAATGCCATTTCCTAATTGGTTCTATCATGAAAACATTGGAAAAATTGATTAAACTGCAAAAACTTTGTCTTAGAATCATAGAATCAAAGAGTTGGAAGAGACCTCATGGGCCATCCAGTCCAACCCCATTCTGCCAAGAAGCAGGAATATTGCATTCAAATCACCCCCAACAGATGGCCATCCAGCCTCTGTTTAAAAGCTTCCAAAGAAGGAGCCTCCACCACACTCCGGGGCAGAGAGTTCCACTGCTGAACGGCTCTCACAGTCAGGAAGTTCTTCCTCATGTTTATTTATTTCATTTACTTATACCCCGCCCTTCTCACCCCGGGGGGGACTCAGGGCGGCTTACAGTGGGGGCACAATTAGATGCCCAAGACAATTCACAAGCAATACAAATACAAACAATTCAACAATTAATTAAAAACATCAATACATAATAAAAATAATAAAACAGTCTCAAGCTCAGGGTTCAGAGTCCATATATCCATTCCATTCCATTTGTCCTTGTCTATCATCAGCTCCTTCAGTTAGCTGTCAGAATGACCAAAGGCTTGATCCCAGATCCAGGTCTTCAGTTTTTTCCTAAACGCCAAAAGGGAAGATGACGATCTAATCTCCCCGGGGAGTGAGTTCCACAGGTGGGGGGCCACCACTGAGAAGGCCCTGCTCCTCGTCCCCGCCAGCCTCACTTGTGACAGTGGCGGGGTCGAGAGCAGGGCCTCCCCAGAAGATCTTAAGCTTTGAGGTGGGACGTAGATGGAATCTCCTCTCTTGTGGTTTGAAGCCATTATTTCGCGTCCTAGTCTCCAAGGAAGCAGAAAACAAGCTTGCTCCCTCCTCCCTGTGGCTTCCTCTCACATATTTATACATGGCTATCATATCTCCTCTCAGCCTTCTCTTCTTCAGGCTAAACATGCCCAGCTCCTTAAGCCGCTCCTCATAGGACTTGTTCTCCAGACCCTGGATCATTTTAGTCGCCCTCCTCTGGGACACATTCCAGCTTGTCAATATCTCTCTTGAATTGTGGTGCCCAGAATTGGACACAATATTCCAGGTGTGGTCTAACCAAAGCAAATAGAGCATGGGTAGCATGACTTCCCTAGATCTAGACACTATGCTCCTATTGATGCAGGCCAAAATCCCATTGGCTTTTTTTGCCGCCACATCACATTGTTGGCTCATGTTTAACTTGTTGTCCACGAGGACTCCAAGATCTTTTTCACACGTACTGCTCTCGAGCCAGGCATTGTCCCCCATTCTGTATCTTTGCATTTCATTTTTCCTGCCAAAGTGGAGTATCTTGCATTTGTCACTGTTGAACTTCATTTTTTTAGTCTTTGCAAGAAGGACATCCTGCACTAGTTTGCTCTAGTTTTTTTTAACAAGAATTCAATGGTGGCAGCCACAAAAACTAAATTTCTGAAGGATAACAACTACTTTCAAAGTAAAAACCTGTTGCATCCCAGAGCAGGAACACCTCTGTGTTTAAACACCACACCAGTATAGTAAAATCGGCAAGCAGTTTATTGAGAATATATGAGGGTTGAATGAAAAATAATACCTCCACCCCTGTAAGTCCTCAACAGATGGCAATACTTTTATGCAGCAGGTACTGGCTTGTTCAGTAGACTCTCCTCTACAGTTCCATTTTGGTGGGAAGCCCTAGCATTGAATGGTTGTGTTGTTAAAGTGCGAAGTATGGAACCCTGTGCAGACGGTCGGTCAATGCGACTTAAGCAACGTGCAGTCATTGAATTCTTAATAGCAGAAGGTGTCA